GCTCCCAGCCCGCAGCGTGCCCAGGCAGGCCCTTGCCAGAGGCCTGTCCCCGAGACCCCCCCAGCGAGGGGCCGGGCGCAGGCCTGTGCCCCCGTTTGCTGGAGGGGCCGAGGCAGGGCACAGCTGGGCACCCTGCAGCTGTGCTGCTCCCACCCCAGTGGCCGGGGGAGGGGCAGGGGAAACCGAGGCACAGTCAGTAAGTCAGGCCAGGACACGGGGGTCCTGCAGGATCCCCTCAGCCCCCAGCCGGTGTTTGTGGGGGGTCAGGTCCCGTCCCCCCCACCCCCGCCACAAGGGGCCCAGCTGCCCCAGGGGCTGTTGCCTTGGAGACCAACAGCTCCTGCCACCACCCCCGGCATCATGTGCAGCCTGGGATGCTGTCTCCATAGCAACCACTGCAATGGCTCCTGGGGAGAGGTGCCAGGCCCTGCCCCAGCAAGGGACCCTCAGCCTCCGCCGGGGCAGGAACAGCCCGGACCCAAGTGAGGGGAGGGGAGGGGAGCGATGAGGCGCTCGGGGCTGGGGGGGCAGGGGAGAGGGACTGGATGCATGCATGGGGCCCTGGGGCATCTGTTGGGGGAGCAGCAGGCAGTGGGTCTGGGCAGAAGCAGCCTGGAGGGGGGCCATTGGCAATGCAGTGGGCTGGGGTGGGAGCGGGCAAGGGTCCAGCCCAGGCAGGGGGTGCTGCTGCCAACTGGGGGTGGGCGCTGCCGGCCCAGGGCCCCTCGCCGTGCAGGGGCGGACGATGCTCTTGGCCCGCTCCCCTCTTGGAAGGTCACGGAGGGGGGCGCGCGGAGCCAGGCAGGAGCAGTCCAGCAGCCTCGGGGTTTGGCATGCGCGGGCGGGGGGATAAGGTGCGGGGCCACGGGTGGACAGTGCCCTGCTCGCACCCGGGCTCCGGCACTGGACGAGCTTCACTGCGGGGGCAGGCGGGCTGCTCCCACGGCCACGGGCTCCGGCTTGATCCTCCACAAGGTCATGGGCGCTGCAACCGCGGTACAGAAATAGCCAGTGCAGGCGCCATCCTGCCCCCTCCCCCGCCGGGGGCCGTGGCACTGGTGGCCTCAGGCCAGGCAGCAGGACAGCTGGAACTGCCCCCCCCGGCAAGTGGAGCCGTCCAACCCCTCCAGCGCCAGGCCCAGGGCGTTGGCTGCTGGCAGGGTCCGTGCAGTCGGCGCAGGTCTTGGACGGTCCCTCCAACACGGACGACACAAAGGCGGACACGGCACACGTAT